TAATTTAAGCAAATTTGAGATTAGTTAGGGTTAGTTAAGGGTTATAGTAAAGTTTATAGTTAGCTCTAGGGTTAGGGCTAGAGTTTTTTTATATTATAATCTTATAATATTTCTATATTGGCCACCTATACTAAAGGAGATCCCAGAATTTTTTAAAATTCGGACTAGTGTATCAAAAAAGTTAGCATGGCTTTAGTTAAAAAAAAATTTTTTTAACTTACAGCTGTTTTCATTATTTTTGAAACATTTGAAAATTTTTTTGATAGCCAAATCAATAATTTAACAGTAAAAAAAGTCGAGCGGCTGTGTCTAGAATCACTAGCTCGTGATATGGAAACCAGTTATACTAGTAACTAGAAACCAGTATAAGCCCGGAGCATATATACGTACTATATTCTACCAATCAGCATCACGGAAGCGGACGGACAGAATTCATGTCCTCCGGACAATAGTTTTGTGTGGCCCTTGGTCTATCTACTTTAACATATATTAGATTATATTTATGTTAAAGTAAACATATAGTGTACATATAACGCAAACCTAGCTCAATTAATCAAATCGCAAAGAGACAATAAATTTAATATCGATTTTATTATTATTTACAATGTGTTAAACAATACAAAGAAATGAGTAAATATAAGATTTTGATTAACGAAATAATACTTTGGAACTAAAATTACAGTAATGATTTGCTATAGTGTCAAAATGAAAAGATTAAATAGATTTTTTTTCATTAATCGCACTACCAACGAAGGGAAACTTGGAACTCTCTTTTCTCTCTTGTTTCTCTCTTGTATGTAAAGTTTTAATCGAAATTGGTTTAATGGTTGTTGTGATATTATTAGTGTTATTTTAGATATATTCTAATAAGTGCTAACAATTTATCGGTAACCGAAACCGGACTAGACTAGACTAGACCTAATTCAAGTAAATCGCGAAATAATTATTGTTATGACTCGAAATTATAATGTCGATATATGAATTTAAGAAGGATTTATGTCATGTGATAACATCAAAGTATAAGAAAAATTTGCCAAAGAAAAAATTAGTATACAAAGATTTATCTAAAGTTATCGTAAAGTTTCACGATAAAAAAAGTCAAACAATTCATTATATGAGTTTTTATGTAATCATGATTTTGTAAAAAAAAACTTGAATACGTGAAACCGAATTATATTTTTTTTATCACACATTTGGTCATTGTAATATCATTACCCTTAATTCACACAAGTTTTTTACACAATACAATATTAATCACGAATTAATCAATTCATTTTAAATAGATGATTAGATTAGAAATTAGATGAGTGCATTGTATTAAACATCGAAGAAATTATGTATGTATTCTCCTTAGAAACTTGCATTAGCAAAATCTGTTGACGACCTTAGAACTATCTTTGCGTTACAAAAAATAGTTTTGAATGCATTTTTGCATAATCACAATGGATAGAATAATTCGATGAACTTGGAACAACCCGAAATCGTTAAAATACTTTTAGGAAAGGTAACAAGAATATTGATGAGCTTAGAACGACTAAAAATCGTTAAACACTTTGATGAGCTTAGAACCGTCAAGATAGTTATAAAATGAAGGCGATTTCTCCACCCAAAATGGATTCTTCAGATCAAAGCAAATTCGATATCTTCTCAGAAGAAAAAAAAAAAAACTTCAAAAAAACACTCAAAGCAAAAAAAAAATATCTCTAAAAAAAATTCCATCAAAAAAATAACAACATATAATCTTTAAAAAAAAAAATGTCCGCTAGCCAACAAACCACCCGTTCTCGTGATTCCGGAGTATTCGTTGACCTTGATTTCGACATTAGCGAAAAGATTTGCACACCTTATAGCCATTATTTAGGATTTGACGTCCCGGTAAAAAAGTCGATCCGCAAAGAACCCGAATACGAACCATTTTTCACCACATATTCACTAGAAGTAGTTTTACCTCCAAAGATGGCTTCAAACACACACATTCCTTTTTCTGGTTACCTTGGCTTCGAAACTTCACCAAAACCAATAAAACGCGAACATAAACGCCCACAACGCAAAACTTCATTTTATTTCGTTAATTTGAACGACTCTGCATCACATTATGATGACATTGAGCCCATAAACGAACCGATTGAAACTACTTTGAAAAGCTCTCCTATAGAAGACAAAGTTATTGAATCACCTTGCATTTTACAAGCAAATCGTACTATTCAATTATTAAGAGAGGTTTGTATCTTTTACTGTTTTAATTAAAAGATTATTTTAAAATATCAACTAATCGATCTTTTATTTATATAGGCACGTCATAAAATTGCCGCTCTTCGTAAACGTAATTAAGTTTCACATAAGCCATAAGCATATGTAAAAAAAATCATGTAAAATTCCCTGTACCCATAAGATTCATGAATCCTTCTTGTAAATAATTAGTAACCCTTTTTTATAATAGACATGATTTTGATTTTCCATCAAAACCATATAAGCAGATTGTATATAGCCGAGTTTTTTTTCAATAAAAATTTCCGAAAAACGTAAATTTTGGTTTAGATACAGAGATAGAATAATGTGACCTTCACGTGATTGCACAAAAACTTAGATTTATTGTTGATTGTTAGATAGTCTTGCTATTGTAAAAAATCCATCTTCTTTAGGCAATAAAATAAAGCGAGTTCAGATTTGAGTACTTTAATTGACCTTAAACATAAATCTATAAAAAGATGACCTATATTATATGATCATAAGGTTTGTAAAAAAAAAAAAAAAAAAGATGACTAAAATTATTATCAATCACGTATATAAATATGTCTTACTGATTTTGGGTTAGTGTTACAGAATACGAAAATTATAATATCTGACAGGCAAATATTGAATATTTACTTACTGTACCGTATTGCTGTATTATGAAATGAAAACGTCAAAATTTGTTTACCAATAAATGTTTTAAAATTGATATTACAATAGCGATAGATACTTAATATTTTTTTTGTTCTCCACATGATCTTAAATTATGTAAGCGTACCGATATAATTGTATTAATGTAACAAAATAATTTCAATAAATACTTTCTTTATTGTTTTTTTTAAAAGCAGTCAACAATTTTGCGGAATTGTACGTAATTCACATGATTTAAAAATAATACGTATATAGTAAAAATATAACAGTGGCTATTGTTCTTATTTACTTACTGTATGTACTAAATGCAGTATTACATTATTACTGTATTATTTGCATTATTTTCATTTATGTAATGACCGATATCATAAGAGATACACAAGCTCTAATTTTAGTACGTACGAAATATTAATTCAGATTTATTGCCAAAAAAAAGTAAATATTACGATACATTATTTACGAAAGTTGCGCGAATCTGTTAAAAGTAAGAAAAATAAACTTAACGAAAAATTGAACATACAAAATAAACTTATATATATACAATATGTATATGACAAAGGTAAAGACGAGGATAAAATAAAACGATTCGAACGAAAAGAATCAATTATTCGAGAAAAGAAAATAGCGATAAAATTATCACAAAGTCTAAACCAATAGTCCAGGATAAAAAAAAAAAGAAAAAGCATCTATAAAGGTATTATCTAAAAATAATCTACAATAAATTAAAAAAAAAGGAAAAAGTACAATAATAATTATATACCAAAGGAAAACAATGTCCGGAAAAAAACTGTACAAATTTGTTCGTTTAAAAAATGTATTTGAGATCAACTCTATTGTGTTCGGAATTAATATCCGGAAACTCATCGTTGTGCTTGCTATACCAACAATTAACAAGTGTGAAAATATTCTTGATCTTTATCGACACCATATTCATTAACGTTAAGATAATTTAGCCAATTTTGCATGAGGTTGTTGTTATCAACTAATAAGTTATTATAATAATCATTGTAGATTATGTTATTATAAGAAACAAGAGTGTTAAAATTAAAATTATTAGGATTATTGGAGTATTCGAATCCTTCAAACGAAGAAATAATTGGTGATGTTTCAGGCGAAGAAATAGTTGGTGATGTTTCAGCCGAAAGAATACTTGATGATGTTTCAGATGAAGAAATAATTGGTGTCGTGTTCGATTTTCGATTTCTACCTAAAATATTTGTACTGCTAAAAGTCACTAAATTATTTGCCATCAAATCTTCTTCTTTTTGGGATGCACTTCCTTTCTTTTTACGAGGTGTATATTTATAATTTGGATATAATTCATTGTGAATAGATTGTGCTTCCTCTATAAAATATAATGTAAAGTTATATTAATATTATAATTTCAATTATAATAACGATAATAAAAAATAAAGAAATTTATAAATTTATATACCTGAAAACTTCCTATATATAGATTTTACATCCTCTGGCATCTTTTTCCAGATTTCTCGAGCGTATTTACATAAGTTAGGCATAGATAATTTTTCGAAAAGATTGGGAAATTGCGATTTTATTTCCAACATAAAACAATTCTTGAAAAGGAAAAATATATTAGGCGGACGAGGAGGTGAAAGATTTTTTTTGACTCGATTACGTGATTTAGTGGATATTAATGCAAAAATATCATATTTAGATTCAGGATCATATACATAAAGTAAATCAAAATATACACAAGAATTATTAAATTTTAAAGGAATATAAAGAAGATCATCAATTTGCGATAAAGCCATTTTTAAACTGTATAAGATATACGTAAAGATTTAAAATGATTTAAATGATTTAAATGATTTTCAAAAGAGCTTGCCAAAAGAACTATTTTGTAATTAAATAATTGAATTCAATTTTCTTTGGCAAAAAGAACAGTCTCAATCCGTGGTGTTTATATATTTTTTTTTGTTCTAAACATCTTATCTCTAAATCTTTTTTCAGAATGAGTAATCTTATTAATATCACCAAAGAGACAACGAAATTTTAAAAAATCGTATTAATCCAAGTCTTATGACCATTTTAAAAATAAACATTAGCATACATAAAACTACGTAACTCTTGATGTAATCATAAATGCACGAAAAGTTGCTGACCTTAAAATTTGGATCTGCAACTTCCATTGAAACATTAGCTTAACGCGGAATTATCTTTCATCATCCTGGTCATTGGTCATGTGTTCAAAATATATTATAATTATATTTCCTTTCTATTTTTCTAGATTCCCTTCTATACCGATTTTCTTTATCTCATCAAGTAACACTTTATGCAAACTTACTGTCACGAGAATGTTCTCAAGGTAATACCAGGTCTTTTTAACAAACATTATAACCCGGGTAATGCTCCAAAACTTTTCAAATTATAAACAACCTTATTTAGTTAATGCGATAATTTCCGGAATGCCTTATCCGGTTTGTTTCAGATGACTACGTACATAAGTACAAAATATTTTTAAATTTAGACTGTCCGTTAAATTTGGTAATAAGTCAACGTACTTCTATTAATAGTATATCATATGATTTGCGTGACCCTCACACCTGACTCCGGAATTTAACTTCCATGCTAATAAAATTTATCATTGTATTAGGGAAATATTAGAAGCATGTGATAATGCGGGTATATTTTGGCACATGGCTTTTTATTTCCTTTAAATGTCTGACAATTGCTTTAATTAAATTTTCTTTTATATCTTATCGCATAATCAAAAATCACTTATCTAGCATGATCTATATAGAATTTTCTGAGTAACATTTCGAGAAACAGTTGTGCATAATACTTCAATTTTTTTCATAAATAGCCAATCATCTTATCTCATGACATATATTTTCAGATAAACCAACAGCATAAATTTGTTCGTGTTTTGGGTATTATTCAAAAAAAAAAAGCTTTTGAACACAGCAATTCCATATAGAATTCTTTGTCATTCTTCTTTTTTAATTAAAATGTGATAAAATGGTCGTGCCATACAAAAGAATGATTCCGTGACTTTTTTTTACTTTCTATTTAGAATCTTTAAATTATCTTTACCAAATTGAAAAAATTATTAAAAGCAGTGTGACCTTTTTATTTTGATAATATTTGATTTTTGTGGAATTCTTTAAGGTAATAGACAAACGAACTTTTTAAATTTTCTAATATCTTACTTTCATTATTTTCATACATGTATTGCTTATTACATTCGGCAATACTAATAAATCGTAATATTTTTTAAATAAATAAATTCTTATTTATAAAATACGATTGTCTTTCATTAATTACGCGATACGTATACGTAATAATCGCATTGTTGACGTTATATTTTAACTTTTTGATACACGAAAATTTTCCCCTACATAAAATAATAATAAAATATAATACGTATTTACGAAAAAAGCTTAACTTTGGTTTTAAAAATTAAAAATTTCTCAATTGAAAATTTTTCTATTTTTCCATACATACTGCATAATTGCTTCTTAAAAGAATCGTCATGATTCAATAGTTAAAATTATCTTCTCATTAGAATATTCGTTCATTCTTTTCTAGATACTCTATTTTAAAATCAGTGTCACGTGATTTCAGACTACTGTATTTCTCCAACATATGTACCCCTAGTTCATTATTTATACCTAAGTAAGATGCTCATGCTTATGTATTTGAGGATATAGTCTGTCCATGACCTATTGGCCAATTATAGGTTATCGTTATCTGTTATGACCTTATGACCTATTGGCCAATTATAGGTTATCGTTATGACCTTGTGACCTTATGACCTGTTATGACTTATCGTTATAAAATTTACTAATATGTTATGACTACCTTGGTCATACGTACGTATAAAGTTGGATAAAGACCTAAAATAGCAAAACTACAGCTAGGGTCCGGAAAAACAAGCCCATACGGTTTCAGAATTCTGAGGGCTGTAAAAATAGTGTTCTGTTATTGGTAAATAAGCTGAAATACCGTATAGTTCCGAAATTAAGCACCCCCCGAAATTAAGCACCACCAAATTTTGTAAAATACCCGAAAATAAGCA